TGGCTCTCCATCTTCTTGGAGTAGCTCTCGAAGTTGTCGTGCTGCTCGATGCCCTCGAGTTCCTCGAGCCGCTTCAGGCGGGAGCGGATCGTACGGAAGTTCGTCAGGGTGCCGCCCAGCCAGCGCTCGGTCACGGTGTGCATGCCGACGTCCGGCACGCGGACGTTGAGCACTTCCTTGGACTGGCGCTTGGTGCCGACGAAGCAGACGTCCTTCCCGGACGCCACGGTGCGGGCGATGAGCTTCTTCGCGAGAAGCAGGCCCTTCACCGTCTCGCGGATGTCGATGATGTGGATCGAGTTCCGCTTCGTGTAGATGTAGGGCGACATCTTCGGGTTCCAGACGCTCGCGCGCTGGCCGAAGTGGATGCCCGCTTCGATCAGGTCTTTCACAAGGGATTCGGACATGGAACAATCCTCTGGCAGCGGGTCCGTCGGGAGGGGCCGGGCATCCCGGGCGCGGCAGGCTGCCGTGCACGATGGATACCTCCCGATCAAGGTCGCTTCGGGTGGGTGACGCCTGGCTCGGCGTCCGTCATTGTGAGTGCATGAACCACGCTTCGACGCGGTCACGCCAAACGGCGTGTGCGTCGGCACCGGACCCGTGCTCGACCACCCGGATCCGAAGGGTCAATGTAGCCAAACCGGACGTTCCGGGCAAGCCCGAACCACCGGTAACGCCCCCGGATCGCCCAAGAAGCCCGATTCTGCGCCAATCCGAGGGGTATCCCCCCGCCGGACGTTGCCGAGCACCCGGCCCGCGGGTACGCTGCCCCTTCTGGCCACCGAGAGGGGGCCGACAACACGAGTTCGGGGTGTAGCGCAGCTTGGTAGCGNNTAGCGCGTTTGACTGGGGGTCAAAAGGTCGCAGGTTCGAATCCTGTCACCCCGACTTTGGACCGCCCGCCGCGGGATTCGTGGCGGGCGGCTTCGTTTTTGCCCAGAAAAATGGATATTCGGTGGGTTGCGGCTGGCGTCATCATATCGCTGGTGAATAGTGGGGAAGTGCGCTCCTGGACCGACTCAGCGATGGAAACAGGAACTGAGTGCACGAAGAGAACGTTGTGTCCTCGGTAGGGAGAGAATCGTGTCATTAGGTGACATCCACGTTGCATTCTTCGTCTTGATTGCGGCTGTGGCAGGGCTCGTCTGCGAGGCCGGTGCCGCGACCATCAGCGTCCCGGGTGATTTCTCGACGATCCAGGACGCCATCAACGCGGCGAACGACGGCGACGAGATCGTTATCGGTCCCGGGACCTACACGGGTGATCTGCAGGTGCCCGCGAAGTCGATCACGCTTCGGAGCTCGGATCCGAATGATCCGGGCATCGTGGCCTCGACCGTGATCGAATCGAATCTCGCGGTGGCCATCCGGGTCCTGAGCACGGGGATGGCGCCTGTTGTGATCGAAGGCCTGACCATAACAGGAGGCGACGCCGCCACCGGTGGCGGCATCAATGTGAGTTCGAGCACGGTGTTCGTGCGTCGGTGCGTGCTGACTGAGAACAACGCGATCGACGGCGGCGCGATCGGCGTGCTGTTGAACAGCAGCGTGGTCTGTGAAGCATGCATCATTCAAGACAACACCGCATCGGAAGATGGCGGCGCGCTGTCCTGCGATGGGGGCTCAAAGGTCGTCTTCGTGGATTGCACGGTGACTTGCAATTTCGCCGGTGATGACGGCGGCGCGATCCAAAGCTCCGGCGAAGTGGAATTCAGAGAGACGATGATCATGGAGAACTCGGCCGGCGGAGACGGGGGCGGCATTTTCAATAACGGCGACCTCCTCCTGCTCAACGTTGTCCTGGCGAAGAACACCGCCGACGGCTTCGGTGGCGGCATGTTCAGCTTCTCTCCCGGGCCGCCTCCCAATACGGACGATGTGCGAATCGTCAATTCGACAATCGCCGGAAATTCCGCGCTCTTTGACGCCGGGGGAGCCGGAGTGGATGCGAGTTTTATGCCGCTCATCTCGAACACCTTGTCGTGGGGCAACTCGCCGAACGGGCTGATCGTCGGTTTTTCCGGGGCCGACGTGTCGCATTGCCTCGTCCAGCCGGATGGGCCGTTCGGGCCCGGGAATTTCAGCCTGGACCCGCTCTTCGTCGATCCGGCGGCGTGCGATTTTCGACTGCAGCCGGATTCGCCCGCGATCGACGCGGGCCTGAACTCGCTGATCAACAGCATCGATACGGTGCTCACAGATATCGACGGCAATCCTCGGTTTGTCGATGGCGATCCCATGCGCGGCGAGGACGCGATCGTCGATATCGGGGCGTACGAGTTTCAGAATGCGATCGTCTGCGCGGGTGATTGCGACGCGAACGGAACGGTCGATTTCAACGACCTCGTCGCGATGCTCTTCGAGTTCGGTGTGAGCGATGACGGCCGATGCGATGCCGATGGCTCAGGGGCGGTTGACTTCAACGATCTCGTCGCGGCGCTCTTTGCGTTCGGTCCGTGCCCCTGAACCTCGCGAGTGCTCTCGCGCTGACCGGGCCGCCTCGAATCGATGCCGCGGCGACTCGTTCTATGACGCCTCACCGCGATGCAAAGACCGTTCCTCCGATTGGCTCGCAGACGCGCAAACCCGACACTACGCGGCCAGGCGCGCGATCGGTCTGATTCACTCCTCGCATAACCCATGCTCAATCGCCCCAAGAATGTAAATAGCGATGGCCCCCTGCCCGGGAAGCTTCATCCGCTCGATCGCGATCTTCGCCCCGGCCTCCCGTGCAGCGTTCAGTGACGAGTCCAGGTCATGCCGAACACCGAATTTCACTTAGGAATTGAATTGCCCAAACCCAAGCTCCTCTCCGGCGGCAACCCCCAGATCCCCAAAGGCGATGACTATGGACCCAAAGCCGATGCTGAAACAATCGGTCTTCATCCTGATCGGCCCCAAGGGATCCGGCAAGACCCACATCGGCGGCGTCGTCGAACGAGAACTCGGGATCAGGTTCCTGCGTGTCGAGCCGCTCATTCTGAAGAACATGAGCCGGTCCAAACTGACAGGGTACGAGCTCGAAAAGGAAGGCTTCCACATCGAGGAGCGGGCGATCGACGAGATCCTCGCAGACGAGGACGCGGTGATCTTCGAAGCGACCGGCTCGTCGGACTACTTCCCGGAAGTCCTCGCCCGCTTGCGCGGGAAGTACCGGGTGCGACTGATCCGCGTGAGGTGCCCGCTCGAGACATGCTCGCAACGCGTCGCCCGCCGGGATCCGACGGACCACATCCCGGTGTCGGACGAACTCCTGAGAACGATCAATCAACGAGCCGACGTCGTGGAGCTGGAGTGGGATCTGGAGATCGACAATTCGCGCCCGGCCTCGGACGACACGATCGTGTCGCTCGTCCGGTCGATCATCTGAGTCAATGCGTCAGTCGAGATGCTTTGCCGGCAACCGATTTGAGAAGATGAGACGGTTCGCTCGCATGTTATGATCCGGGTGAGAGGTGGACTATGCACCAGTTGGTCTGGAAAGCACTCGCGATCGTCATCATCCTTGGTTGGGCGGCGTCATCCATGCGAAACGGCCAGAATCGGATCGATCCGGATCAGGACCCGGACGAGGTCCTGAGGCAGTTGCACCAGTTTGCGGTGAACGCCGAGTTCAACACGGAGGCGCTCGATCTCGCCGCGAAGCAGGTCGTCGACACCCCGCCGCGTTGCCTGGCCGGATTCTCGTTCGACGAGGGCCAGCGAGCGGCCAAAAAAGACGTGTTCTGCACGTGGCCGCTCCGCTGCAAGTGCGGGCACACGAGTGGGAAGGTGCTCGGATACTCCCTGAAAGAACGGAACCCGAAGTACGATGGGCCCGAGCTCTTCCTGAGCCCGCTCGCTTTCGAGTGCGTCGATTGCAGGACAACCACCGAGATCATCGATACGGCCGAGCACGGCTACGACGCTGAGATCTGTCACGATCCGAGAGCCGCGATGCGCGGCGAAGGCCCGCGCCAGGTCTTCCAGTGCGAGCACTGCAATCATTCCGAGTTCGAACTCGAAGCCGTCTTCGGCCACTCGCACTTCGACCACATCGATGACGAACCCGAACTCGCCCCGAAGGCGATGGATCACTTCGATACGTTCAACTTGTTCGGGACGTGCAGGAACTGCGGGAAGCGGTCGTGCTTAGCGAGCTATGAATTGGCGTAACATTAGCGCCATGGCGAAGAATCCCTCCCCCAAACCCAATCTCCTCTCCGGCGGCAACCCCCAGATCCCCAAAGGCGAGGGCGACGCCCCCGTTCAGGCGTACATCGACGCCATGCCCGGTTGGAAACGCGACGTCGGCCGGCGCCTCGACGAGATCGTCGCCAGCGCCGTGCCGAAGGTGTGCAAGGCGGTGAAGTGGAACTCGCCCTTCTACGGCGTCGAGCCCGGGCGGTGGTTCCTGAGCTTCCACTGCTTCGAGAAGTACATCAAGGTCACGTTCTTCGACGGCGCGAGCCTCGACCCCGTCCCGCCCGAGACGTCGAAATACGAGAACGTGAAGTACGCCCACATCCGCGAGGGCGAGGCGATCGACGAGAAGCTCTGGACGAAGTGGGTGAAGCAGGCGAGCAGGCTGCCGGGCGAGAAGCTCTGACGGCGAAATGCTCGCCCAGCGTTCACACGTTGGGCCCCCGGCTCGCATTCGGACTGCCGAGACGCACGGATGCCACGCGGGCCGAGGCTCTAGAGCCAGTCGGGTTCTCTTGCCCTGCCTGGCGCTCTGCGTTGGGCGTTGAACTGATGCGAAGAAATCGGCGAGATTGACAGAGGGGGGGGCTCCCGGCTTGTCGCGGTCAGCGCTGTCACTATTGACAATAGAATGCCAATAGCATACCCTCCCGCACCCCCGTGCCATTGCTTTGGAGGAGCGAGTGCCGCTCTACGACTACCGATGCCCCGCCAACGGCCGCACCGTCGAGGTGCGGCACTCGATGCGCGAGTCGGTCTCTTCGTGGGGCGAGCTCTGCGAGCTGGCCGGGTTGGACGCGGGAGAGACCTCCGCGAACAGCCATGTCGAACGGCTCGTGTCCGTCCCGGCGGTGTTCGCGAAGGCGGGTCCTCCGGCTGGCGGGGGGCGCTGCGGCGTGGCCGGTTGTGGCCCTGATCACTAACGAAGGAGAGTTCCGTTGACACGAATGATTTCCAAAATGATGGGCAAGCGAGAGCGGCTCCCCGTCACCGTCCTCTCCGGCTTCCTCGGGTCGGGCAAGACGACCCTGCTCAACCATGTGCTCCGGAACCGCGAGGGCCTGCGCGTCGCGGTGATCGTCAACGACATGAGCGAGATCAACATCGACGCGGAGCTGGTGAAGCAGGGGGGCGCGAGCCTCGACCGCGTCGAGGAGGAGCTCGTCGAGATGTCCAACGGCTGCATCTGCTGCACGCTGCGAGACGACCTGCTCAAGGCCGTCTCGCGTCTCGCGCGGGAGGGGAAGTTCGACTACCTGCTGATCGAATCGACCGGCATCTCCGAGCCGCTCCCCGTCGCGCAGACGTTCACGTTCGAGGACGAGGAGGGCCACTCACTCTCGAAGCTCTCGAAGCTGGACACGATGGTCACCGTCGTCGACGCCTCCAACTTCCGCACGGAATTCGGCTCGTACGACGACCTCGCGGACCGCGATATGGGGCTCTCGGAGGAGGACCAGCGGACGATCGCGGACCTGCTCACCGATCAGGTCGAGTTCGCGGACGTGATCCTTGTGAACAAGTGCGACCTCGTCGACGAGGAAGAGCTGCGCCGCGTCGAGGCGATGATCCGCTCGCTCAACGCCGACGCGAAGCTTGTCCGCACGACGAACGCCGAGATCGACCTCCGGGAGATCATCGGGACCGGCCGCTTCGACATGGACAAGGCGATGTCCTCACCGCAGTGGATCAAGGAGCTCAACCACGAGCACACGCCGGAGACCGAGGAATACGGTATCTCCAGCTTCGTCTTCTGCGCCCGTCGCCCGTTCCACCCGCAACGCCTCTACGACATGGTCACCGGCGGTTTCCTCAAGACGACCCGCTCGAAGGGCTTCTGCTGGCTCGCGACGAAGCACGATTTCGCCGCGATGTGGTCGCAGGCCGGCGGATCGTTCCGCATGGAGCCGGCCGGACGGTGGTGGGCGGCGGCGCCAATCGAGCACTGGCCGGAGGACAACGAGTCACGCGGGTGGATCGAGTCCAAGTGGGCCGAGCCATTCGGCGATCGGCGCCAGGAAGTCGTGATCATCGGTGTCGACCTGGACGAGTCCTACACACGCGGCCTGCTCAACAGTTGCCTCGTCACGGACGAGGAACTCGCGATGGGCCCGGACGCGTGGGCGTCGTGGCCCGACCCGTTCCCGGAGTGGGTCTTCCAGCCAGCGGCCGTCGAATAAAGTCACAATGGCCCGTCGTGTCGGGCTCGATTCACGTTCGCTTCATACCGCGCAGTCGTCGCACTCGCCCCAGAGCGTCAGCTCGTGCCCCGCGAGCGTGAAGCCGTCGGGCAGCATCTTCGAGAGCCCGCCCGCGCACCCCTTGACGTCGAACACACGGTCGCAGGTTTCGCAGCGGAAGTGGTGGTGGTGCTTCGCCGCGATCGCGGCCGATTCGTACCGGTCCGGCTGCCCGGGCACGGAGACCGGCGCGATCTCGCCGTCCTCGAGCAACCGGTTCACCACGCGGTAAACGGTGCGGAGCCCCAGACTCGGCGACTCCTCCGACGCCGAATCCAGGATCTCCTGCACCGAGAGCGGCCGGCCCGCCGTTTCCACGGCGTTCCGGATCGCTCGCTGTTGGGGTGTATCGCGACGGGCGGTCATGGTGGACATGATCGGCCCGATGGGGCCGTCGCCGCAAGGCGGCTCAGGCGACGGACAGGCGAGCCGTCCGGACCTTGCGTCCGCGGAGCATCTTCCATGCGAACGCCGCGATCGCGACGCAGGCCGCCGCGGCAAAGACCGCGGGCAGGCTGATCGACGCGCCCGCAACGGTCGCGGTCGCGCACTCGGTGCAGACGGAGGCGAGTTCGGTGCCGACGGTGGCGGCGGACGAGCAGTTGGAGCAGCTGGGGGTCATGTTCGGATCTCCTTGTTGGCAATGGATTGCCGATAGAGTATCCGCCCACATGGCCATGTCAAGCGCTGGCACGAGATGAAGCTTCGGAACGGACGAATTCAACGCTCGGCCAGGTCGCACGCGAGCATGACGTTGCACGGCGCGGGCGGGTACTCGATCTCGGCCCGGTAGCCGCGGAACGCCGATGACGGTCCCCAGCCCGAGACCTGGAGCCTGCGGTCGACGAGCTGGCCGTAGCGATCGACCCGCGGCGTCAATTCTTCCCGCAACGCGACGGCATTCTCATGTGTATGCATTGCCAGGGCCGCGTCGTGGCTCCGCTCGCTTGTCCCGGACCGGAGCCGTTATGCGATCCAGCTGTTTGCTCGTGTCCTTGCTCGCCGCGCTGGTTCTGCGCGTTCCCGTGTCGGCAGCGAATGACGGCCCGGCGCCACTTTCTGAATGGGCGAGCGAGACGATCGAACTCCCGCCCGGATTCGCGCCGAAATTCACTTCGGGCGTCGAGCACCTGCTCTTCCCGCCCGGCTGGCGTGACCCTGAGTCGGAGAACTTCTGGTCCTACGCCATCGTGATGCGACTCGACGAGCCCCTCCCGGATATCGCCCGCGTTGAGGCGCTCATGAGGGAGTACTACGCGGGCCTCATGTCCGCGTTCGGTGTCGGTCGCAAGGAGGGCTCTCCGCCGAACGATGTCCGCGTGACGGCGCGCCAAGCCGGTGATCTGCGATTCGACGCGACGATGGATCTCATCGACGGGTTCGCGACACTTGAGTCGGTGCAGATCCGCCTCCTCATTGAGACGGATGAGTTCGGACAGAACCGATCCGAACTCCGGATCCGCGTGAGCCGCCAGCCGGAGGGGCACGCCATTTGGGCGGCACTTGACGGTGCGATTCGCGAGATCAGCGCGGAGCATCCCGGGCGAAGCCCGATGCCCAACTTCGCGCGCATGATCGACGGCGAATGGCGTCTCGGCGAGCGGCAGTTCGACGTGTGGCGGTGGGGGCCCGGGAAGCACTCCATCGTCGGGCGGACGATGGGTCTGGTGCACGAGGGCGAATCGACGAGCGGCGTGCTGCGCGTCTTCGCGTGGAATCCGAGGCGTGAGGAGGTCTCCGTCCTCTCGCTCTCGCTGGGCGGCCTGGTCTCCGAGGGCGTCGCGACCGTCCGCGGCAACGAAGTGCACTTTGACACAAAGCTGCACTACGGCGACGACGAGGAGCTTCGGAAGTACATCCCGGAAGGGGGCCCACGGCACATCATCCACGCGTGGCGATTCGACGGCCCCGACACGTTCGACGCCTTCTGGATCGAAGACATGGGCAGCCGCGACCCGGAGATGATGCCTTCGTGGCGATACGAAAGGGCCGAGCGGGTCACGCCGGATCCGCCCTCGGCGAGCGACCCGCCCGCGGAGATCAAACGCCTGGGCGCGTTCGTCCCGCTCATCGGCAAGGCGTGGAGCGCCAAGTCCGCACGCGAGGGCGGCGAGACGATCATGCGAAGGATCGAGTTCGCCTGGGTGCCGTACGCCGAAGCGGTGCACGCCCGCGTCCACGAGCAACGCAACAGCGAGGCGCCCGTGCTCGTCGAGGAAACGGTGATCTATCCGCACCCCGGGAACGACCAGATCCGCGCCATCACCCTCCACGCCTCGGGCGCTGTCGATGAAGGCGTCGTTGCGCGCCTCGAACACGGCGTTATCCAGATCGAAGCACCCGGCGTGGTCCGGGGGTACACGATCGGCGACGAGGGGCTGCTGATCGAGCGATCATGGGATACCGATGGCGCGGAGCGCACGCCGCGATCCGAAGTCCTCTACCGGCAACGCTGAAAGGCCGCGGGGCAACGCGTAGCATGCCGCTATGGCGAAGAGACCTCCAAAGAAACCGACGGCCAGGCCCGCATCGGATCCACCGGCGAGCGATCTCATCGACGCCCGCATCGAGGAACTCGACGGCTGGCGTGGTGATACCCTTTCGCGCCTGCGCACGCTCATCAGAGAAGCCGATCCGGAGATCACGGAAGCTGTGAAATGGCGCAAGCCAACGAACCCGAACGGCGTCCCCGTCTGGGAGCGCGACGGCATCATCTGCACCGGCGAGGCTTACAAGGACAAGGTCAAGCTCACCTTCGCCCACGGGGCGGCGCTGGACGACCCCGCCGGCCTCTTCAACGCGAGCCTCGAGGGCAAGGCCCGGCGCGCGATCGATCTCCGCGAGGGTGACAAGATCGACGCCCGGGCGTTCAAGGCGCTGATCCGCGAAGCGGCGGCGCACAACGGCGCGAAGTGAGCCTCTCGACGATGCGAGTCGCTCTGCCCGGGCTCAGTGTTCCCACAGGCCGTGCTGGATACCGCCCAGCTCGTACAGCGCGAAGGTCCCCTGGCCCGGGATCTCCATCGGCGGGTGCATGAGCACGCCTCCGGCGTCCGTCGCCGCCTTCAGGGATGCCTGGATGTCCTCCACGAGGATGTAGGGGCGCACCGTCGGCGACTCCCCGCCGTGCATGGGCTTCCGCACCCCGATCCGCCCGCCGCTGTCGAGCGTCGCGGTCCGCGCGTTGCCCATCTCCAATATGGGGTCACCGAACGCGACGCCGTGGGCCTTCGCGAGCGCCTCGCACGTCGCGTCCAGTTCGGGCGTCACGATTTCGAGGTACTGCAGACGCAGCGCCCGCCGCTGATCCTCCTCGGCAGGCGGATCACTCGCCAGATGCCCGGCGAGCGAAGGACGGATCAACGCCGCGGTGCACGCCACGCACGCGATGAGAACAAAGCACACGGTCGAGAGTCGTGAAGTCTTCATGATTCCGTTTTCTCCTCGTAGATCATGATGAGGTTTCCGCAGGTGTCGTCGAGCACCGCGGCGACGACGGTTCCCAGATCGGTCGGCTCCTGCGTGAAGCGGACGCCCAGTCCTTTGAGTCGTTCGTGCTCCGCCCGCACGTCCTCAACGAGGAACATGGTCCACGGGATGCCGTCCTTGCTGAGAGCTTCTTTAAATGTGCGGGAGGCGGGGTGGGCGTCGGGTTCGAGGACGAGCTCGACGCTGTCCGGCCCGTCGTCGCCCGTCACCGTGAGCCAGCGGTGCTCGCCCATGGGGATGTCCTGCTTCTTCGTGAAGCCGAGCTTCTCGGTGTAGAACGCGAGGGCCTTCGCCTGGTCGTCCACGCACACGCTGCACACGCTGATCCTCATGGGTCCGCTCGCTTTCGTTCGGTCACGGGCCACCGCTCGGCAATCTCGCGAAGTGGCGACGCGTTGAAGTAATGAAACTTGTACCGCCCCTCGCGCTCCGTCTCCACGAGCCCGGCCTGCTCCAGGACGTCCAGGTGCTGCGAGATCGCCTGGCGCGAGGAGCTGATGCCGTGCTTCATGATGAGGCGGGAGCAGATCTCGAAGAGGGACTGGCCGTTGCGATCGACCAGCTCGTCGAGAATGGCCCGCCTCGTGGGGTCCGCGATGGCTCGGTACAGGTCGTCCATGACTCATGCAAGCATCGGCTTGCCTTTCTGGCCTCATTATGCAAGCTGCGGCTTGCGTGTCAAGGCCCTTCCACAAAAAGCGATCGCCGGCACGAGACGCGAGCCGCGCGTCCCCCGTCGGATCCAGCCGAGATCTGCGACATCCGGGCGGGCTGGGCCTAGCGTTCTTCGGTTGGAACCAGTTGAGACAGCCCCAGAGATCGGAACGGCATGGAACTCCAGCACTTCGACGCGCAGATCGCAGGCTTCATGCGGCGGTACGGGACCCCCTCCCTCCGATACTCCCTCGCGGTGATTTTCATCTGGTTCGGCCTTCTCAAGCCGCTCGGGATCTCGCCTGCAGAGCCGCTGGTGCTGTTGACGGTGGACTGGATGCCGCTGCTCCCGGCCAAGTCGTGGCTCGCGGTGATCGGCTGGTGGGAGGTCGCCATCGGCGTGCTGTTTCTGCACCGGAAGACGCTCCGCTTCGCGATCGCTCTCCTGGCGATGCAGATGGTCGGCACGTTCAT